GAATTCTTTTGCAGAGGAAGCTGCTATCATAAGATTATTTATTTGACAGAGAGAGCGAGTGAGCAGAGTGAGCAAGCCAGAGAGAACATGAGTGGGGAGAGTGGCAGAGGGGGAGCAGGGAGCCCGATACGGGGCCTGATCCCAGGACCTGAGATCATGACCTGAGCTAAAGGCTGGTGCTTAACCGACTGAGCCACCCAGGTGCCCCTAAGATCTTTTTTTAAAAGATAAATTTGAACAATGAGGCACCTGGGTGGCTCCATTGGTTAAGCGTCCAACTCTTGATTTTGGCTCAGGTCATGATCTCAGGGTCCTGGGATTAAGCCCCACATCAGGCTCTGCACTCAGCAGGATGTCTACTTGAGGATTCTCTTTTTCCCTCTCCCTCTGCCCCTCCCCCATTCACGCACACACACACTCTTTCTAAAATAAATAAATAAGTCTTAAAAAAAAAAAAAAAGAAATTTGAACAAGCTTGTTTATAACCAACTGTTTCTTCCAATAACTAGAAAGCCAGCTTGGGGGAAAAAACACACACACACACACACACACACACATAAGAATCAAAACTAGAAAGAAATCAGGAAAAATGGGTGATCTTACGAGAGAAGAAAAATATTAAGAAAATATATATAAAAACTCCAAAGGGATTTAGACCAATTATTCAAAATAATGAGAATTTAAAGATAATCAGCCTTAGATCTACATATGAAAATTAATTGTATTTCTATATACACCATCAAATTAGAAAGCGTAATTTAAAAGAAAGACATTTAACACCTTCCCACAAACACACACACCCTGTAAAACTATAAAGTACTTAACACCAGATAAATGAAACAGATGAATAATTGTATTCACTGTATTCCAGTCATTTGTTGTTGCATAACAAATTCCTACACAACTTAAGGGCCTAAAACCACCATTTGATTTTGCTAATGATTTTGTAGTCCATAAAGTTAGGACATCCTCAGTTGGGCAATTCTCACTTGGGGTCTCCCGTGTGGGTGAGTCAGGTACCCATTGAGGCTATAGTCATCTGAAAGCTCAACTGCACTAAATGTTCTGAGATAGCCCACTCATGTGGCTGGCACCTAAGGCTGCAAGTTCCTGAAAGCTCAGTTGTGGCTGTAGCTATCTCCCACAAAAGGGTCTCAGGATAGTTGGACATTTCACATGATGGCAAAGCTCCCCTAGAGCAAGCACCCTCAGAGAACCAGTGGAAGCCATCTGACCTGACTTGGCCTCAGAAATCAGGCAGCATCATTTCTGCCTCAGCCCAGATTCAACAGGAAGGGACTCATACTCTACGGTCATAATGTAGAATACCAACTAGGAAGAAATATTTGCAGGTATCTTTAAAAATCTACCACAATTGGTATGCAGAATATTAAAAAAGACATTAAAAGTGCAAGATATACCATATTCACAGGTAGGAAAACTGGACATTATAAACACGTCAATTTTCTCTAAATACATGGATAAATCCAATGCAATTTCCAAATTCCCAACAAGATTGTGTATGGACTTTGACAGGCAGATCCAAATTTCATATAGAAGACTAAAGGGCCAAGTATAGCCAAAACACTCCTGAAAAGGACAAGTAAGATGGAAGCACTGTCCTACCAGATATCAAGCCTTATACAAGGCTATCCTAATTAAGATAGTGCAGAACTTGATGGAGAAATAGACAAACTGACCAGTGGAATAGAAAGACCAGAAACAGATGCATACATATATGGAATTGTGATATGTAAACAGCCCTGTAGAAATCAGTTAATAGTGAGAGACAACTGGTTTTCCAAATGGAATAAAGGAAATTTTATTTGTATCTACTTTATATCGTCAATTTTGGATGGATTAAAGACTTAAATGTTAAAAGCAAAACATTTTAAAAATTCAATAGAAAACATAAGAAAGTATCTTCTTGATCTTAGGATAGAGAGCATTCCTTGAACAAGACACCCAAAGCATGACCATAAAACAAAAGACTGACAAATTAGACTATGTTTAAATTAAGAACTGCTTTTCAACAAAGATGCTAGAATGAAAGTGAAATGACAGCTCTAATTATATATATCTAATAATGAGAAATCTAGAAAATCTATTGTAACTGTTCATGAAATTGTCCAAAAATAAGTTTTAAGAACTAGCAAAGAACTACCCTAGACAGAAAATTCAGAGCATATATGAATAAAACTAAGCAAATACCTACATCTAAAAACAGTTTCAATCTGTTTTAATGGCACACATAAATCTTTTGTGCCAGATGGAGATCAATAATGTAAATATATATATATTCTTTAATCAGTAAATAAACACTGACTATAACCATTGTCTCAAGAAAATAAGTGATTTTTACTGACCTATTGAACAGTGAAGATGGTAAGAAATCCTAGTCATAATAATCTCACTGACATTTAAGTGCTTAATACCATTCAATAAACACTGAATCTTGCTGAACACCAGGTACTGTGGAATATGAAAAGAGCTGACACACAATCCCTGATCTTCAGGTCTATAATCTAGTTAGCAAGCAGTAAAATACATATGTAAAGAGGTAAGTCAAATTTCTATCAGACCTCATGTCAATCTGTTTTTTTCCATCTCCACTATCTCTGTAATCTCTCCTAAAGAATCTCTTGCATTCATTTCACTCTGTCCCAATCTATTAACTACACTGCAGGTATAGAAACCTCTGAGATGCAAGAAGACCACAGATGCACTCTTTGGAGAAACAAACTGTAGAGATTCAGAAACACCAGGCACAGGGCTAAAAGATTTATGTGAAAACCTGTACTGAACAATGAAAGCCTAGCAGCCTTCACTTAGCCTGCTTCTGTAACTGAAAACTAAGTGTCTACTTGCCCTAGGAGAATGAGGATTCTTCTCTAGAAAACTAAACCAGAACCTCCAGCTACTGATATTTGGAGGTTCCTCCAAGGAAAATGCCACTGTTTGCTGACTCCTGCAATTAAAGATAAAAAAAAAAAAAAAGCAGAGGAATAAATTATCAAATAATTTAAATTTCCCACCAGGTAGCTCAGTTGGTTGAACATCTGACTCTTGATCTCCGCTCAGGTCATGGATCTCAAGATCCTGGGATCATTGTGGAGCTCTGTACTCAGTGGGGGTCTGCATTCTCTCTTCCTCCCTCTGCCCCTCCCCCTGCTAGTGCACGCTCTCTAAAATAAATAAGTCTTTAAAAAATAATTAAATTTCCCAGAACTAATAAAGAACGTAAGTTTTTAGATTGAAAGAGTCTAACACAAAGCACATCATGATCAAATTTGAGGACACCAGGGATTAAACAGATTACAAAAGCTCCCAAAGAGGGGGGGAAAAACAGATCTCATACAATTGGGAAATCAGGTATCAGCTTTATTAAGAGCAACACTAAACTAGAGAACCTTCAAATTTGAGAGAATTCCAACTAGAATTCTGTACCTCCTGAAATTAGCAATCACATGTGAGGGGAGAAGAAGGTATTTTTCAGACTCATAACAACATAAAAATTTACCTCCAAGGTACCCTTATTTAGAGAGCTACTAAAAGATGTACTCCAACAGGGCGCCTGGGTGGCTCAGTTGGTTAAGCAACTGCCTTCGGCTCAGGTCATGATCCTGGAGTCCCGGGATCGAGTCCCACATCGGGCTTCCTGCTCAGCAGGGAGTCTGCTTCTCCCTCTGACCCTCTTCCCTCTCATGCTTTCTATCTCTCATTCTCTCTCTCTCTCAGATAAATAAATAAAATCTTAAAAAAAAAAAAAAAAAAATGTATTCCAACAAAGCAATGGAGTAAACCAAAAATGACTAAGACATGATATCCAGGAAAACAGGGACCCAACACAGAAGAGCAGCTGAAGGAAGTCCCAGAACAGCAGCTGTGCAACAAACGAAGTCCAGATTGGGACTGGGATCAGGGCTACAGGATGGAGTCTTCAGGATAAGGAATGGAACGTAGTATATTTGAGCGTATGAAAATTATTATTGATAGCATTTAGAAAAAAATTAACTACAAATACACAGAGAGCCAGGAAATAAAAAAAAGAGACAACTATTAACTTCACAAAAAGCAAAGACTATACTATCTCACTATTTGGCTTAGAAGGAAACAGTATCTTTGTAATCAAAATAATGAAATACTTATAATTTAACCAAAAATTACAATATATGTAATTGTGTAAGGGGAAAGGAAGTACAAAAGCAGAGTAAAAAGCTAGATCTCACCTATTATGGCAAGAAGAGATAATGCCCGAACCTGATTAATACCAGTCTACACATGATATTAAGGAATAAAGAGCTAAATACCAGGGAAAATGGCCAAAATGATTAAAAGTGGTTTCTTCCAAGTAGGACTTGGAGACGGAGAAGGGTAAAGCCTTCTAACTTTATTTGGCTTTTAACTATATAAATACACGATTTTTTAAAATTAATTTAAAATAATATTTATTAAAAAGCCAATAGCTGCAAAAAATATTTGCAACACTATGTTACTGTAACAGTATTATAGACAGAAGAACAATATCTTAAAATTATTAAAAACTCTTGCAAAAGACAACAGAATATATGCAGGGGACATGAACAGGAAATTTACAAAAGAAATATTACTATCCAAGGCACATATGAAAAAAACTTTTACCATTCAAAGCAATAAAAAGAAACACTCCAGATTAAAACAACAAAGCAACAGTATTTTAACTACTAATCAGCAAAATTTTAAGAAATGGGTAATACTAATGGTGGTAAGGTTTTTGGAAAATGCGATGATTTTTAGTATAAGTTGATACATTGTTTCTGGAGGAAATTTTGGTAATATGAATCAGAATCTTAAAAATATGTATGACATTTGATTCAGTAAATCCTGCTAAAATGCACCCTTAAAGAAATAGTTACAAATATGCATAAAAGGATCCAACCACAAGGGTAGTTATTTTAGCAAAATTTTCTTAAGACTGTCTTTTCCATATTGATTTACTAGAAACAATGTAATAGCCTTACCTGAACTGTACGTCCTGCATTGATATGCTCTTCATGCAACTTATCCCAGATTCTGCACCTTTGGTACTATACAAAAGAGAGGAAAGATACAGTTTTTTTTTAATAATACTAAACTTATTACTTCTAGTTACCACAAAAATCCCCACTCACCTAACTTAAACATACCAGCTAAAGTTATTGACTTAAAAGTGGCAATTAACTGTCCAATGACAAAACAAGTAGGACATCTTCAAAAACATTCTAGCAAATGGTAAATGAAATAAATTTATTTTGCTGAAAAAAGACAGTGTACTCTGTCTTGCAAATTCTTTGGAGATGAAAAAAATAATGAGAATGTAAAAGAATGAAAAATAAAAAGATTAAGAGTGCTCATGAGATACTATTTATGAAGAATTTTAGAAGTTTGTCAATGTATTAAAAATAAAATCTGACTTTGAGAAAAAGTAACACTGATACTGCAGACTAGAAAGTACACAAAAATGAAAATGAACATTTAATATACATGCTTCAGTTTTTACCAAGGCAATGTTTAGCTTTCAGAGTTTCAACCACAAAACTTTATGAGCATAATGGGAAAATTCTTCATTTGACAGGAACCATAGCAAAATGTGGTAACATTACGGCACAATACTTACATAAACATCAACACCAAACATCACATACTATTTTTGGTTGAAATAAAAAATCCAAATAATTAATGTTAGGAGATAACTGTATCACTGGTATAGTTATACATCGAAAGAAAAAAAAAATCAACCTAGAAATACTGTGAAAGGACAGAAACATGAAAATGCCCCATGTAAGGGCACCTGGGTGGCTCAGTCAGTTAAGCATCCAACTCTTGATTTCAGCTCAGGTCATGACCTCAGATCATGAGATCGAGCCCCCTGATGGGCTCCTCAGAGTCTGCTTGAGATTTTCTCTCTCTCTCCCTCTCCCGCTAGTTCCTTCTCTCTCTCTCTCTCTAATAGATAAATCTTAAAAAAAAAAAAAGAAGTCCTTCAGGCTGATGGAAAAATGATACCAGACAGAAACCTGGCTCTACACAAAGGAATGAAGAGCACTGAAAATGGTACATATAAAACGTTTTATAGGGGACACCTGGGTGGCTCAGTTGGTTAAGCATGGGGACTCTTGATTTTGGCTCCAGGTCATGATCTCAGGGTCATGGGATCAAGCCCCACCTCAGGCTCCACACTGAGTGCACAGTCTGCTTAAGACTTTCTCCCTCTCCTTCTGCCCTGACTCTCTCTCTCTCTAATAAATAAAATCTTTAAAAAAAATTTTTTTTTATTTTAAAAATCTCTTTGAAAGAGAACTCTGTTTAAAACAAAAATAACAACAATGTATTGTTGGGTAATAACATACACAGAAGCAAACTATATGACATTAATACTATGAAGACCTTGGAAGAGGAATTGGAAGTATATTATTATATAAGGTTCTTATACATGAAGTGATCGAAGTGATCAAAGTGAGTGTTTTATATATATATTTATATATATATAAAATTTGTTTTATATATATATATAAAACAAATCAATGAGACTGATTAGGTTTGTTTTTGTACCATATACTTTGTGCTTCATACCTAACCTGGACAGTCCATGCCACTCATTTTCACAATTATATGTCACTATTATTCTCTAAATATTACCTAATTTATTTCCTTAACTGGACTGTATACTTCTTGAGGATTAGAAACCTTGTTTTTTATGAACTTTTCAGTGCTAACAACAAAAGAAACAGCAAACACCAACACTTAGGAAAAGCTGACATACATTTATTTCTTGTAATTAATGACTTCCCTTCTCATTAAGCCTGGAAGATTGAACACAAGCATTTATCTCTGCTCTTTTCTAAAACCCAACTAAAATGGAAATAAAGAACGTTAAAAGGTATACATTCATGAGAGTCATAAAAATACAACAGAAGATATCAGTTGACAAGAAATTTTAACAAAATTTTAGAAGCTGGAAAGATTACAGACATGTTGCAACAGACTTAGAAGATCTGAGAAAGCTACACCATGAGGCTGCAGAAGGGGTGAGTGGTGTGGGAGGCAGAGTGACAAGCCAACAGGCACACCACCACTCCCGAAAGACTCAGTAACCAGAGCTACCAGCTAGTCAGGAGGATGTGTATGGTGGGGCGGAAGGATTGGTTGAAAGTTTATGAAGGAAGAGGTAGTCTACCAAATGCTCTCTGCAGGCCCAAGCAACTACACTGCCCCTATCACCACAGAAGACCACATTCCAGAAGAGTATCTTGTGGTTCCCCATTAAAACAGATCCTTCACCTGCTCACCCCTCCAGGTAACAAGACTCCACCTACTTCCTGCTACACACACAAATACTTTCCAATTAGCACTCTTAAACATCAACAGCTAGCCAAGCAATGCCCATAATACTGCAGGCTGACACAAAGAAGAAAGGGGGAGGGGGGAGAGAAAGCAAGAAATAAATTTAAAAGGAAGAAAGAATAAAGAAACTCAGGGAAAACAAAGAAGCAGATAAAAACTCAAAAAATAATAATAAAACCACCAGAGAGATGCTATGATACTGCATCCATGAAACAAGAACAGGAAGATTCTCTTTAAAAGAGAAAAAAGAGAAGCGACAGAAAAAAGAACATAGCAAAAATATGATTCTCGTTATTTCATCTTAGCTAGAATGTGGATGTAATAGCTGAGGCTGGAGCTGCTATTTTACATGCAAGATAGAAACAAGCTGAGGATGAGAGAGCAGGATAAAAAGAGCCTGGGTCTTTACTGACTGCTGAGCTGCCACTGCAGCCTGGAGTGTCTTTGTAACTATGAGCGGTTAAAAATAAAGCAAAAACAAAAAAGGTCTATCTGATTTAATACACTATTTCGGGGTTTTCTGCCACTTGTACTTTAACCATATACTAGCATAGTACATGCTACACAGTAAGTTTTCTCCTAACCTTACAATATGAAACAAAGAAAATCATGTTCCAAGCATATAATCTTGTTTCTATTAACTATGCTTAAGCCTATCTTATGTTAGCCAAGAAAGCTGAATGCTAACACTTCAAATTTCAGCACTGCATTCTAATCTATCATGTGTAATAAAATGTAATACTGAAGGACCTATGGAATACAGTCCCAGGTGTCCACAGCACACTACTCTCATTGTTTAAGGATGTTGGGGAATCACTCCACCAAGGCTTACCTTCAATTTCCCTTCAGTGTGACTTTCTTCTTTTAAATTCATATTGGATGACTGATGGCTAACATAATAAGTATTTTATCTTTCTACACCCTTCCCCCAGGAAGAATATGCCTTTTTTAAAGTGAGGCACTGTCAAACACCTGGAGTCCAAACCTAGTTCTTAACTCTTTTGTCCACAGTGAACACGGCAGTTTTTAAATGTTTCTACCTAAAAAGTCACTTTCATGGTAAAACTAGAAATCCTAGAGACAGTATAATGATCAAGAATACAGAATAAAACACAGATCAGCATGAGTTTGCTTAGCTTCAGACATCACCTATATTGTAAATTGTAATTATTCTGATATGGTCTAAAAATTTCACATTAAGTAAAAATTTCACAAAATGCTAAAGGAAAAATGTTATGGCAGAGAAAGATCAATATAACTCTGGAATAATTTTCTTATGAAGTTTGGCACAACTAACCAACTCAATAATAAATCCTTTCCTATCCCCACCTTCCTTGTTCCCAGGGTTCTGGCTTTTCCATTGATGACTGACTGGGTGGTACATGTGGCTAGGATCTGAGGGTATGACTGCAGACACTTTATATAGAATAAGTATAAGAAATGGGAAATCTAAGACATGCCAAACCTCAAAGGTAATATTGGGCAATAAAGGAAAGAAATTATCTTAATAGGCCGTAGTCCACCTATGTCTAGCTTTCAGAATCAATTCATCTGCCAAATTCTAGTCATCTTTGTAACTGAGCGCTTTGATAGAAGCTCAGGACTTTAAAACACACCTTACCAACCTGCCACCCAGATATGATCAACCAAAGTAAACAACTCGATTTCTATATTGTTATAGTGCTAAAAGAACGAGCCCTCCTCATTAATCAAAGCATGGAGCCCTGTAATTTGTTTCTGCTCATGACAAGAATAACCAGTTTACCAGACAACTCTCCCACCCTAAAAAGTCAGAGTACTTATTGTCTACGAATAAAGAAAAACTTAAGAGATGACAAAATAGCAATCTTGAATTCCAGATAGCTTCATACTTGCATTGAAATTTTCATCTTAATATTCCTGGTACTTATTTTCTATACTTTTTGGAAAGACTTAAATACTAGGAAAACAGATGGTATCTTTGGGGCGGAAAAAAAAGCTGACACTCTTCTTAGTTGTATAAGGTACTCAGGTGAGGGTGACAAATACTGTTTATACTGAAAGGCTTAATGACCACTTCCACCCCACCCCCCACTGCAAAAAATTAATGGAGGGCCACACAGCTTGAAATTTTACTGGGGAGGTCTTTTTGAAGGAGCAAAGCCTACTGACCTACAGCAAATAAAACAATATAATCTGCCAAGTCAATGCTCAGTATTCAGTAAACCTGATGTTCCCATGAATGCCACAGCTATGCCACCAGACGCTGGCCAGTCCAGATTCTATGCAACCTTTACCATGATCCATGAGACTAGTTCTTCCCTCTATTTCCTAAACTGACCTCTAGGTGGTATTTCTCAATTTGGGGCTTTCCTCAAAGGGAAGAAGTCAGTTTGGGAAATTCCCTCATATCACACCATGATTTACCTCTTTACTCTATGTGCACCTGAAGAGGATAGGAGTTACTTATAGACACCAAAGTTCAAAAAACTTCCCATGGGGTGAATGAAATTAAGGCAGGCCCATTAGCCAAAGTTCACTGCCTTCACATTATGGTGCACTATCAAACAATTTGCATTTTAATTATTAACTGCCTAATATGTCAATATGTACAACTTAAAAGGTATAGTTTCTATTCTTATATCCCTCCCTAAAAAAGGAGTAATATGAGGTATATTTGTAAAACAAAAATCCAGATGAAAAAATGAATGTTACTAAATCAATAGGAGATGGATGTTTTACCAAAGCCTCTTACCTAATATTCTAAATTTAGCTGAAATGCACAAATATAAGTCCGAATTCGCAACGGTTTCTTGTGGTAGGAAATGAAAAACACCTACCTTCTCAATATTTATCTGGTGCTTTCTTAGCCTCTCCAGGTCTGTTGGGATTACTATCTTAATGAATTTCTGGATAGCTGGTTCAAGACGGCGTAATTTCACTTTTTCTTCATCTTCAGACATCCTAAAAAAATACTGTGTCACTTCTACTTGCAGCAACTGTCTTCTCCACTCACATAGAAAAATCTAAAAGGGAAATATTTAAGAATGTTTTTAATCAGTTTCTATTATTTTTAAAAGCCAACGAGGTAATTTTATAATTTATTCTAAATATATATTTCAACTTAATTCTGAACTTGAATGACTTTTTTAAGAAACCTTTTATTTTGAAACCTTTTTCTTTCTACAGATGTATATGTACTTTAAAATGTTTAGAAAATACAAAAAAGAGGATAAAATAGAATCAATCATCTCTCTTTTCATGTCTTTCCAGGTTCTTTTCCAAATAAGAACATATCCACTTAAATACCTTTTTTTATTTTTAAACTATGAGTTTACTGTCCAAGTTTTCATTTCCCAATGTATCCTGGACAATGACTAACCTTTTTTAAAAAGATGTCAAATGGCAAAATCAAAAGAAAAAATTTCATAACATTTCTACTTGTATCAAACTCCATTTCTGACCTCATAATTTATGTAATTATATACTTCAAATATATTATAACATCATATGCGACTCTTCTCATTGATGTCCTTTAAACTGTCTCTTCCCTTTCTCACAGAGTGATTAGTGTTGTCCGCAACCAATACAAATAACCAGTGACAGAGCTGGAATAAGAATCCAGGATTCCTGAGAGTACAATCAAATGCTTTTTCTTTTTTTTTTTAAGATTTTATTTATTTATTTGACAGAGAGAGACACAGTGAGAGAGGGAACACAAGCAGGGGGAGTGGGAAAGGGAGAAGCAGGCTTCCCGCAGAGCAGGGAGCCCAATGCAGGGCTCAATCCCAGGACCCTGGGATCATGACCTGAGCCGAAGGCAGACACTTAACGACTGAACTACCCAAGCACCCCTCAAATGCTTTTTCTAATTCACCAAGAGTTTCCTACCAGTGTTCCAAAATGTCCAAGAGTATGCTTTTGGGGCCAGGGTACGTGAGGGTAGAGGACAGCAAGTGAGCAGGCTCCAGGACCCCATGCCTGCTTCAATTGGAGAAAATTTACTTATATCTACTTCATAAATTTGTGCATGTTAGATTTTACATCAATAAAGGGCTCCACTGTTAAACCACCGTTGTGCAACTTTGCTTTCATGCCATCTCATTAGCCCACAACCTCTCCCGTATTAAAAAAAAAAAAAAATTGACTATGTTAATCCCAATGGGTTATGGGGTCTTAAACCAGGGTCCATACAGACAGACGTTCGCAAATACACTTTATGGAGTCCCTGAATCTTTATGAATAATTGTGAATGTATTTTTGAGTTATTTCAGAGGACAGTCCATTGCTTTTATGATATTAAAAAAAAAAGACATCACTGCAGAAGCATTAAGAACTATGAATCTAAATAATGTTGTTTCTCTTTCTTTCACAGTTGAAAATCTTGAAGTGTTGGTTATATGACTATCTCATCAACTTAGGAACTTGGTTTTTATGTTTAAGCTTGAAAGCAAAAAAGGGAAATCTCCACACACCAAAAATAAGAGTTCAACAGGTACAGCAGTGAATGGGAATTTGAGATACCTAGAGAAGTTCATTGCTGAGAGTCCACAGACCCAACACAACAGGAAAATTCATAGCTAAGGGACTAAAGATAATAATCTAAAAAGAATAATTAATAATTAGTTAAAAATATTCAAAGATATAAAGGAAGGAATAGAATCCTTTTAAAAATTAGATAATACTATGAAATAGTAGTAGGCTAATCTGAAAAACCAAGTACAAATTGAGAAATAAAAACCTCAAAAATGGGCTAAACAATAAACTATGTAGCAGAAGGGAGAATTATTGATTGGAAAATTATCAGTCAGAACACAGAGGAATAAAAAGATGAAAAACATAAAAGATAAAATGAGAAGCTCAATAATAGGAGTCCCATAAGGGAAGAATAAAGAAAGTGGTGAAAAGGCATTATTCAAAGAGAACATGCTGAGAATTAAGATGCAAGACCTCAAATTGAAAATGCACATAAGCCCCAAGTGGCATAAATTAAAAAAAAGATTTACCAACACATGGTAGGGAAATTCCAGAACGTGAAGGGCAAACAAAAAAATCTTAGAAAAAGCAAACCAGAGATAAAGATAAACTAAAGCAACAAAAGCAGCAAACTTTTCATCAAAGCAAGATATCAAAAGACAGGAATATCCTCAAGGTGCTGAGAGAGTTGGTATATACCCAGGTAAATTATTATTCAGAAGTGAAGGCAAAATAATCATTTTCAGACATAACAGTTTAAAAGCAAGCCCCCTCATTAAAAGAACTAAAAGGCACACTTTAACAATAAAATAAACCCAAAGGAGATGAATGCCAAGGAGCTATGAATATAATAAAGTATACTATTACTGGGTGGATAAATGAATGAATGAATGAATGAATGAATGAAAGGATTTATTTTGAATACTCTGATCAAATACAATACAAATCTTTCCATGTAAATTACTATTTTTCTACAATACATCTTTTATAGGAGCATAGTGTTACATTACATAGATGCTCCATAATTTAATCAATCATCTATTGTTGGCTATTTAGGTTGTGCCCAATTTTCCACTATTATATACTGCACTACAGTGTAATTACCCTTCTTATACATAAATCCATACTACCATCTATGATGTTTCTTCAAAATAAGTAATTAGAAATCAAATAGGCACACACATTTTAAGGCTTTGATACCAAATGTCCCAAAAGGTTGTGCCTGTTTACATACCCACTAGCAACATTATCAAAATACCCAATTACCCATATTCCCACCAATACATGGTACTATCATCCTCCTTAAACCTTCAAAAATGGTGTCTAATTATTGTTTTATTTTGCATTCCTTAAATTACTGGTGGCATTGATTCATTAGCCATTTGCAATTCTTCTTATGAACTAACTGCCTGCTAGTGCTATGTATCTATTTTACTACAGGGGATATCTTTTCCTTATTATATTTAACATATATATATACAAGACTCATAAATTATCAATTATTTGTCTCAGAATGTTCCCAGTTTATCATATTGCTTGCATTTTTTTCTACCATGCAAGTTATAACCCATAGGAAGATTATCTTTTTATCTACTACCATTCCTTTTTTTTTTTTTTTTTACCATACTTGGTTCTCAATAGATGCTGATGGAACTAAAATATTTCTTCACACATCCCTTCATCATTTCTAATCCCACCATTCCAAACAATGCAATATGCACAGCACCTTACAAGTGTCTTAATTGGCCGCCTTTAGATTCTTTCCCATCTCCAATTTTTCCTCACAGATTACCACCAATTAATATACCGAAAACACCATTTGCAACATGCTACTCCTCTGAACAAAAACTTATTATTTGAATAAGAAAATACAATGTTCATAAATAGATCCACATAATCTAAGTATTATCACCCAATCTCTTTTGGCTTTGCAATGATGCGCTGTCTAGATGCCCTTTTATATCCCATCTGCCTCTAAAATTTATGTATCATTTGATATAGAACTCTAATGATTCTGTCTTCTCCTCCACTAATCAGTTTATAGTATACTTAACAAAACAAATTATTAGATATTTGACTTGTTTGCACTGTTCCCCTACACTATGATGATAGATTTCTTCAGTTCCAAAAGTGGTATTTCCAGGTCAGAATTATGCATGATTCTGCCCCTCAGCTTTTTGTGTCCAAGGAAAACCTACTGCCTCATAAGGATCATCTATCAGGGAAGACATTCTGCCCCAAGAACCTCCCAAGAGACTTTTCCAACTCTTGGTCTCCTCCTGGCCAGTATTTTTTTCTTCTCTCCACCATTTCCATTTTTATAAAATTATAATAAAATGCCTACATACACTAACATGAGAACATAACATTCAATTGCATAAATCATGATGTTACAGAAACAGAAAGTTGTCCAGCAGTAGCTCCAATCATAAAATAGCTCAAATAAGGTTTGTAAGTTGTTAAAGGTATGTAATCCAACATACAAAACGTGGTGTTAAAATATATTGAAAAACAAGTAATTGTATTTCAGCATTTCTTGATTTTTCAGTCAAAACCTGGAACATATTTCTGATATGACAAAAATAAAAAATACATTTACATTAACATCACAACTGTGTAAAATAGGCCTATGAAAAACACAAGACAAAACACAAAAAAATGCCTAATTTCCCAAACTTCTGTAGAGTTGATTTCCTTGTAACATTTTTTTTTTTTTAAGCGTAATGGAATATTTGGGGTGATAGAATAGTTCTGTGTCGGGCGCCTGGGTGGCTCAGTCGTTAAGCATCTGCCTTCAGCTCAGGTCATGATCCCAGGGTCCTGGGACTGAGTCCCACATCGGGCTCCCTGCTCAGTGGGAGGCCTGCTTCTCCCTCCCCCACTCCCCCTGCTTGTGTTCCCTCTCTCACTGTCTCTCTCTGTTGAAAAATAAATAAAATCTTTAAAAAAAAAAAAAGTTGTGTCATGACAGTCGTGGTAGATACACAATTATATGCATTTGTCAAAACTCACAGAACTGTACATTACAAAGAATGAATTTTTGAAGACTAAAAAACAAAAACAAAATGGAACACGAACTAATAAAAACGAATGAATAGCATAACCACACTGAAAGTAGGGGAAGAAAATAATCTAGGTAACTCTGAAAAACACTATTTTAACTGGATACCACAAGGCTAAAGACAAAAAGAACTACACACACTGTTTTCTAATTAGCAAATTTGTTTTTTATAGGAGTATCGGTTAGAAATCCTGAAAATCCTTTATGTGTATATGAGAATTGAGCAAATAAGAAAATATTTTGTAGAACACGAAAGCCAGATTTCTGTCAACGGAAGAAGTAACAAATAGGGGGCATGACTAGAATGAACCCTGTGGTGTTGGTTTACAAATGGAACTCTCAGAATGAATTTTTTTTTAAATATATACACACAGATATATGAGTACATATACACAGATAAATACAAAAACAAATCTTTGTGTATGCATGGGTGTGTGTGTGTGCATCCATGGACTATGTGGATATATATGTACATAGCTAAGAAATATATATTTTCAAATAAACATAATGAATATAAATAAAATAAACATAAGTATTTAATATTTTATAAGTACATAAATATATAATAAATATAAAATGTTTTATTTATTGGGACACCTGGGTGGCTCAGTCGGTAAGCATCTGTCTTCAGCTCAGGTCATGATTCCAGGGTCCTGGGATAAGAGTCCCACATCGGGCTCCCTGCTCAGTGGGGAGTCTGCTTCTCCCTCTCTGCCTGCTGCTCCCTCTGCTTTGTGCTCTCTCTCTCTAATAAAATCTTTAAGAAAAAAAGATTTTTAAAAATCTTTTAATTTGTAAAGGACAACTATTTATTAAAAAATATAAATATATATTTATATATATTCCTGTCTTCTGCCAGGAACCACAAACACGAGCACACCTAGTGCCCTGATCTTGGTGTTTAAGTACCACTCTCCAAAAAAGGAAACCATGGGCCCTTGGAGAAGTGGTTGATTCCAGGGCTGGGGTAGGGAAAACACAAGGTAAGCCTGGAACATCTTATGGTGCCAGAAGATAAGGAAGTTCTCAAAAAGTGATGGAGGCCTGTCAAAAGGAAGCAACCTGAAAAAACTCCCAAGGGACAAAGCTGGAACAAAAACATTGAGATAATATAAATAACAAAAAGGACCAATAGTAAAATAAATGAGTCCATACTGATACAAAAAAATAACTGAATAAATAGGAAGGGGCAGCTCTTCCTTAAAGAAGTCCAATTAATAAAAGAAGAAGGAAATGAGGGAAACAGAAAACCACCATTAGATCAAAGTAATAATCACTGAAGGCAAGATCCACCAATGGATGGTAAAATCAGCAAATGAAAGTTTGAGCAGAAACAAGATATTTTTACAGTTTAGAAACTCTCCCAAGATATCTGATTCATTTCAAGGGAAAAGTAGTAAATTTAGAGAATCCTAGCAGACACCATCCTTAACCAAGTGATCAACAGTAGTATCAAAAGCAGTGTGTCATAACATGAACCCCTCATATGATGAACTGAGAAGGGTACGTCCACTTCTGTGGTATCAACAAAAATGCATAACCTTAATCTAATCTTAAGAAAACATCAGATAAAACCTAACTGAAGGACACTCTACAAAATAATTGACCAGGATTCTTCACAAGTGTCAAGATGAGGAAAGACAAGAAAAGACTAAGGAGCCATGCCAATTAAATGCAATGTGGGATCTTATATTGGATCCTGGAACAGAAGAAAAGGACATTAGTATAAAATATTATGAAATCTGAAAAAAGGTGGTAGTTTGGTTAATCGAATTGTACCAATGATACTTCCTTATTTTTGATAATTGTACTATAGTTCTCTAAGGCGTTAACATTAAAGGAAGCTGTAGAGAACTCTCTTACTTTTTCAACTTCTCTGTACTTGTAAAATTATTTCAAAATAAAAAGGCTTTCTAAAAACGTCTGAACTGATGTTTCACAGAAGACAGCTCAAACATTTTGAAGAACTGCACTAACACTTGCGGACGCCGGGGTGCCAGGTGCTCTACAAACTACTCTTTAGTGCTTACAACTATCAGCTGAGTACCATTAATACTCCTGTTTCCCGTGAGGAAAAAGTACCGGGAGGTTCACTACATAGATTATTTGGAAGTGAAAAGCCCCATTTCCCAGAAAAAGTCCAAACTGCCAGCAACCCTCCGCCCTCCTCCCAAAAGCGATGAACACCGTCCATCAGCCTAGAGATCCCACGTCCTCCCAGTGGTGGCCCCGAATGTCCTCAGGCACGTCTCCCCGTGCTTCTGACTAGGGGACGGGGCACTGACTTTGGAAAGAAAAGTCCCGGCCCTTGATCCTCGCATATGGTCTCTTCTCTAAGCCCTCCGATTCTGAATTTATCTAGGAGGGAGTCAGATGCGGGAGACCACCTCCCGGTCTAGCTGACGGGAGGCTCCGACCTCTGGCTCCCGGTCCTCCCCTCACTGCCCCCGAGCCTCGCGTCACCCCTCGCAGTGTCGCCCACGGCGCCCCTGGGCCACAAGGACCAGACGCCCCCACCAGAGAACGGATGCACGGGCGGTGTCGGACCACGCAGCCGGGCGACCCTGACGACCTAGGGCCCACACTGCGTCACGGGCAGGGCAGGGGCAGGAAACTTTCCCACCCCGCGACCCCAGGAGGCCACCGCGCTCGCCCTGTCGGCGGCCTCCCAACACCCGCTTAGACAAGGGCTTCCAAAAACGAAACCGCCACTTCTCGGAGCCGGGAGGAGCCCTCAAAGCGCTCGCACTCCGGACCCGATGCCGGGCTTCCCACCGGGAGCCTCTCCCGCGCGCGGACTGAGCGCCCATGCCACAAAGCCCGTCAGGGCCTGACGCCCCCGAGGCAGCCTCCCGCAAACGCCTTACCTCCCGCCGGGGCGCTCGAGGCCGCTTGCTGTGCACAGCGCAGGCGCGGGCGCCACGGGGCGGGGCGTCGTGAGGGGCTGGCCGGGCTGGATCACGCCCCCTCCCGGCCCTTTTGGGCCCTACGGGATGTGGCACCCACGCTGTGACGGCTTCCCGCCGGGGGAATGAGGTAAGAAATTGGTCTTGGTTTGTGTTGTGAGGTTGCAACACTGGAGCCAGGAGGAGAGAGACCCACAATCACCTTTTAGGTTTTTGTGTTGTGTTTTCAGTACGACTTAATTCACACATGCATAGCTTTCTACATTTTGCCAAGTTTTTCTGTCCATTTTCCTGTTTTAACAGGAATTTTATTGGCGGGCTGGCCATGTGTTCTAAGCTTTTTACATATGTAGAAACTGAAGCTCCGAAAGGTTGTGCCTTCTCCCATTCGTCCCCAGAAACCCTATGAGGTGAACAGGACACAAGTCTTAACAACCGTAACAGGCGCAGAAATTGAAACTCAGACAAGTTATGATTTCCCTCCCCGCCAAAGCTAGGGGAGTCCTTCGTGCCACTGTCCTTATCCCAATTTTATTGATAATGACGCTGAGGTTAAACAAAGAGTTTTAAGTGACTCACTCCAGTTCAGCCAGTTAGTAACAGACTTGGAACTCCACTGGGTTTCCTAATTTCCTTCTCAAGCTCTTCCAGTGACCAGGGGCTACCAATGACCAAGCAGATGGCTGGCTTTGAAGGCCTGTCCCGGTCACATGACCTGACTTCCAGACCCACCCTTATGTGCTTGTGAATGTTCAGATGACTTGTTTAGAATGTATCCCCTGACAGTATTATCCTCAGAAGTCATAAGAATGTTCAAGCCACAGCTCAGGAAACTCAGGTCTTAAGGTCTCCAGTGGAGTTGGAGTAGGGGTAGAAATTGTAGACTAAAGAAGATTAGGGGCCTGTGAGAAAGTCTTGAAAAGCAATTTCTAAAGTAAAGCAAAAATACCTAAGCAATTTGGAGATTCTTTGTGGGTATAATGAATGCTGATGTTTGTTTTACTCTAGGAATGAAAGGCTTGTAAATTTTTAATTTTAAGAAGAAATATGAAAGTATTAAGCCATGCCATGGGAAAATGTTTTTCATGCAAAGGTCAGTTAAACAAGATCTTTTTGAAATGAAGGTCATTCAAAGTAAGTTCTGAAAACCTGCCTCAACTATAGTCGGGAGACACATCTCAAGGACTCTAAATTTGAACCTAGCCTTCTCGGCTATTATCTGTATGTTTGCTATCATTTAGGTGTGTCAAGTTAGCAGGGTAAAGCTTTTTAATCTAACAATTTGTTAGCTTGATTTATAATCTCTAAATATTTAAACATACAGTGTGTGTGGAACTCTTTGTTTTCATGCCTGGGGGCCCTGAGGTTGTCAGGGCAGGCCTGCTGCTACCAGCCAACATTTTCCCCAGGTCCTAACTGAAACAGGAAGGCAAACTAAATAAAACAGTAAATACATATATTTGAAAGAAAAAGGGAAAAAATATTTTCACATATTAAGATTGCTTACCTGGAAAACCCAAAGGAAAGAATTAAAATTGAAGCGAAGTTTCAATAAGGTAGCTAGAGAAATAGCTTTCCTAAATTGCCAATTTTACACTGTAGTGGGAGAAAAGACCACATTCAAAAATAGGAGAATCAAGTTTGTGTTTATAAGGAATTACAGGACCTATCTGAAGAATTAAGAATAACAGCTAAACGGGGTGAGGGTAGAGGGAAGAATTATAAAGGGTCATGAGGAAACTTTGGGGGTGATGGATATGTTCATTATCTTTATTGGGGTACTAGTTGCATGGGTTTATACATATATCAAAACTTACCAAATTGTACACTTTATTTTTTAATGCATTTTTTTAAAGACTTATTTATTTATTTGAGACACAGAGAGAGAAAGCACGCACAAGCAGGGGAGGAGCAGAGGGAGAGAATCTCAAGCAGACTCCCTGCTGAGCATGGGGCTTGATCCCACAACCCTGAGATCAAGACCTGAGCCAAAACCAAGAGCCAGACTCTTAACTGAGCCACCCAGGCGCCCCCCAAATTGTACACTTTAAATATGTGTATATGTGTTTACTGAATGTCAGTCATACCTGAATAAAGCTATTTCTTGAGAAAAGGTATATATTATTATTTGCTTAGCACCTAGCACAGTTCTTGGAACATGAAAACATTTAAAAGACTAAGAAAATAATATATATTCACTGTATGAATTAAGAAATACTTTTTTTAGTATCACAGAGCAAGTATATGGAGAACCTGAGAATCAAATTCAGATTTGGCACAATAATAGAGACAGAATCTGAGGTTATCTTCCCAGCCCAGTCCTTTTCTGGGAACTGCCTCTCCCAGCCCAATCTGCAGGCTGTCAGTTATGAGCCTCTGGCAGCCATTTTGTACAAGTGTGAATGCATGCCCATGACCACAGTGAATTGGTCCAGGAACAGACACCTGACTTGAATTGGAATAAGATACTTTTCCCAGGAATTTGGGATTCTGGCCTCAGGCTGACTGGTTTCTTGAAAGGAGAAGATGCTCACAGCAAGAGCTCTTAGTGGCCCTGTTTTTCACTCCATAGACTGGTAAATCAGAAGAAGCCATGCTGCTCTTAGATCCTATTTGTAATTGTGGAGAGAGGAGTATAGGTATGTCCTATTTCATGGTTTTAAAAAAGTATTTTTGTTTTTTGGGGGGGTATTTTTTTTTTTTACTACAGGTCATGTTCAAAAAACATTTTTTTTAAAGATTTTATTTGAGAGACAGAAACTGAACATGAGTGGGGGGAAGGGCAGACAGAGAGGGAGAGGCAAACTCCCCCTTGAGCAGGGAGCAAGCCTGAAGGCTCACCAGGATCATGACCTGAGCTGAAAGCAGATGCTTAACCTACTGAGCCACCCTCAAAAAACATTCAAAAGCCACTGTCCTCACTAGGTTCTTTCTTGATCCATGAATTATTAAAACATCTACTGCAGTTCTGAATGCATTCTATTTCTTTGTGCATTCTATAATCCCAACCATCTTGGGAACCGAGATGAAGAAAGGTTAAAAATAAAGTAATAATAGTGGTTACCTTTGGGATGGCATTAACTGGGAGAGGGCATAAAGGAGCTTTCTAGGGTGCTGGAAATGTTCTATATATTGACATGGTGTGATTACATACGTGAAAATTCATCAAGCTGTACACCTAAGATCTATGTACTTTATGTAAGTTATCCCACAATAAGAAAGGAAAATAAAGAGCTAGCAATTCTTGATTTAAAACAAACAAAACCTCTTAGTAAATAAGGAAATAGATACTTCCTTAATATTATTTCTATTACCTCTCTCTGAGGTAGTGGCGAATTAGCAACAGTAATTCCTACCCTAGTTAAGGCCCTTCATCCCTTTGAAAATAAAATAAAAAGACATGAAAGAGAGAGGGGAGGGAGGGGAAAATGTTTAGATGCACAAAAAAGAAACAGTTAGGAGCACATTCAAAGTCCTGGCTCCAGTTGACTTTAGCACTTAAACCTTTCTACTTTCTGCTTTACTATTCCCTACCACCACCACCACACATGTACATACGCACACACACACCGCATCCACCAAACAGTTTGTTCATGTATATTACAGTTATAGAGACCTCGTATCAAACCAAAAGGAGTAAACTCTGGGCATACAGTAACTCTGGAATTCTCCACTCATCAACCATTCCCCACGTAGGAATTTGATCATCATTTCACATGTAGAGTATCTTAAATACCCAGACATCTGCCTAGAAACCCCCCTACCCTCCCCACTTTTTGTTCTTTTAATTACCTTAATTATTCTCAAAACTTGGTGTGCCGAAGAATTATTGCATAAGGTAGTATTTATAAAACCATGCTTGATGGACCTTATGGGCAATTTAAACAATTTTCAAGGGTAATTTTAACTCTAATTTTGCTTTATTCACCTAATTCCTCATAGCCACACCTCTCACTGTCCAACTCACCCTCCAAAGATGCAAATTTCTATTTGTAATGACAATGGTGATATCAATAGAGATGTTTAAAGGATTTAAGTTCCCTGGTTAGCTTTCTATAAAAGACCAACCCTAAAGGCCCTCTTTGGCAACCCTGTTGGGACCCTCTCACTCTTGAGAGCTTTTACTGTATTTTCACTTAATAAACTAATATTGCTTTACTCACAAAACAAAACAAAACAAACCCAGTAAACATACTCAGCATTAGAATCATATTAAATGTTATTTAAACCTCGGCAATTTGCAAGATACCTTGAATTTTATAGTGCCTTAGTTATTATTATCAGGAATGTCAGTTAAAAATCACATGATAGATAAGAGTGCCTGGGGGGCTCAGTCAGTTAAGCATCTGACTCGTGATTTCAGCTCAGGTCATGATCTCAGGGTTGTGAGATTGAGCCCCGCTTCGGGTCCCCAGTGTGGAGCCTGCTTAAGATTCTCTTTCCCTGTCATTCATAAATAAATAAATTAAACAAACAAACAAACTGGGTGTGGAGCCTGCTTAAGATGCTCCCTCTCATTCTTAAATAAATAAATAAATAAATAAATAAATAAATAAATAAATAAATATGATATGATATGATATGATATATGATAGATATACAGAAAGCAAATTGATAGATACTCTGCATGGGTGCAACCTTGCTTTCTATCTCCCATTACTCCCCTTCACACATCCTGTGCTCTAATCAAATTAAACTCCTTGTTACTCCTTGTTATTCTTCATCCCAGTCCTTCCCCCTCTCCTACACCAATTGCTCCTCTCTCTTTGCACATCCAAATCCTACTCATCTTTCCATGTTCACCCCAAATGTGACCCCTCCCCATATTTCTAGAAGTTTTCAATTTAATGCCTGACTTCTCCAGATACCTACCTTATAATCTGATCTTTTTTTCTTTTTGACACATCACTATCTACATTTTACTATAGTAATACCATCTTCAGTGCTTTTCAACCTTTTCCTTGTCGTGGCACAAATA